TTTCACTACCCCCAGTGATCCCTTCGATATGGACGTAAAGGCTACAGAAAGAGGATGTTGAGGGAATGGAAATCCAGCACATGTGACTGAATGATTCATTCTTGGTTGAGTGGACTAGAAGCTAGAGCTCCATTCAGATAGCAGAACTACAAAAAGACTTCTTGGTTTCTCATACTCTGCTTATGAGCTCTTTTGGTTGTGGGAGTCTTCGCCACTCATTTCTTAAGACATATGTGCATTTTGAAATGTGTAAATATCAGATATCCAATATCTTATATTTTCATGGAAATTCAGGGATGATGTAGATCATATTTTAAGGTATTAACACACTTTCTATTATTAATATATTTCTGCTTTGTGGTTGTGTTCTGTAACAATTAAATCAATAGATATTTCCACTGATGTTGTAGAAATGTTTTTGCTCCAAGCCTGATTTACCCAGAGACGTTCATGATAAGCATGACATGGCATCTTTTTTAAAGCATAAATGTTTTATCTGTGTTACGATATAAAACAAGATGACTTTATTTTTGTGAGTGAAATATACCATTGTACAAATACAGAACTGGTCTCAAATGCACGCAACCTATATGAACATAAAGTATTAAAATAATTTTTTTCATAACCCCCGTGACCTAAATTGAAAAGAATCTTATGAAATGACACAAAACACAATTTGATTGGCTCCAGGTCATTTGTGACAAATGATAACACAGCAAATGCTGTTTAAAAGCTCTGAATGGCATGAATAGACTTTGCTTTGTCCCTAACCAGAATGTGAAAGTCAATTTTTCCTTGGTGAAGATGTGATGTGAGACTGGTGTGGATTTAATTTCCCTTTAGAACGAAAACAGCATCTGGAAACCATGTGGAGTACATTAGATCTTCATAGTCATAATCATTGGGAATGGACTATATTTAATGACATACAGACTAATTCCAAATAGAAATATGTTTGTAAGGTTTGTAGGTTGAATTACAATGACAGTACCATCAATCAAAACAGACTCAAATTCGTGACTTTTTCGGGCTCATCTATGGATGTCATGTGGGTTCTTAACATATTAGGTGTCCTATGAGCAGTTCTCAGGTTTACTTTTAGTTAAACAATGACAAAAAGTTGTTTTACTAGAAAACTAGCATTCTGTCATGTGTAAATACTTTTTATTGGTATGCTTTGGTCTAAATGTTTGAGTTTCAGTATTTTCAATGAATGTAAAGCTCAATAATATTTATATCAAACACACATCTTGCCATGATCTCGTCGTATTATTCCACATTCCATAGTCAGAGGTAATTTTTGAACTAAAATTATACAATAACATCAATTTGGTGAGCAAATATAACTTGATCATGAAAGACAAGATGCCCAAAAAACAACCATGAAATGTATTGTAAAACGCACATGAAGATCTGATTAATCAGGTGTGCAAATATGTCATTTAATATTTGTTACTGATATACTCTGATGGCTCTGAGAGTTTTAACAGATGATTGCTTAGCAAATCAACCCTTGATTGTTTTAACCTGCATCTGCTGATTTGTATAACCATGTTACTTGAGATTCTGAGCATGATCCGTGTTGAGCAGGATTTTTTTTTTTTTTGGCTTTATGGAATGCACAATATATATCGGTACCATATCAGTTATGAGTTGTTAGACATTTTGAAAGTTTATCAATATTGGGCGATACTGGATTTTTCTTGTGCAGGCTCATTTCAAAATCCCACTTTTTTACTTTCACATTTTACCATCATCAAACTCTCAAAATTAATCTTAAAAAACATTGCAAATCTCAAAGTAATATCTAGTTTTCATATCATACATTATAATGTTGTGATGCCTATTTGCTATTTCACATTATTGCATTTAAAACAATTAACTTTAGCTTTTTGCGTTTTTTTTTTAATTTAGACAAATTAGTATAAATCATGAAAATAATGATCTCATCTGCATCAAATTTTAATTTCTGTTCTGAGTTACTGCATGATTTGACATGGGGGACTTTTTTTAAAAAGTACAAAAATAGCTAGGAAAATCTATACAAAATCATTGGCATGGTGCAAAAGTGCATTTGCTTTCAGTGAGCTTCTAATAATCACGTACAATTCACAAATAATTTTTAAACATCAACTCTGACATCAAAGTCTAAATTTGTGCTTTAAAATGACTTTTTAATAAGCACCATGACATGGGGACTGACAGCAACCAAATGTTGCATACAGAACAGCTGTACCCGTGGTCTGTAGGATTACAATAACATCAGTCCAACGTATAAAAAAAAATGGAAACACTGTCCATTAACAGTCTTCCAAAGTACTGCACTCAACCAGTGAAATGGCTTGAGTTTGTATTCATGAGTGTTAGTAGTAGTGCACTCTTCCAATAGTGCCTGTCCCTTTTCCCAGAATGTCTGGCTGTCCGTTTCGCCAGATTTCCCTGATGATCCTCTCCCTTTCCTCCAATCGCTGTGCCCGCTCCAGCTCCTCAGCTGAGGTGAACACGTTCCTGCTCAGAGTCCCGTCCGGCGTGATGAGGTGGTTGCTCATGGCAATCTCTGTGGTGCTGTGCTGGATACAGGACTCCAGGCCTCCTGCATCTTCCTCCTCCTCATCATCGCTCTCCTCGTCTTCCTCACTATAGTCTTTCAGCTGTTTTTTCTCTGGCATGGGGGACGCCGTAGTGGTCCGAGGCTTGCAGGAAATCCGGATGACCAAGAGGCAGAGAGTGAGCACCAGGCCAAAACAGACGCCGACGACAAAGTAAAGGCCGAAACTCTCTGGATTGGCTGAACAGATGGGGAAAGGAGTCTGGTTTATTCACTGGAACATATTCATATGAGTTTGCTGTTCTTTTAACCTAAGCTGCATGTTAAACATGGGAAAAGCACAGACCTTTAATGTGAGCGTAAGCAGCAATAGTGTTGCTCAAGAAATCCATCTCCTTCCTTTTCACATTCATCCTGGCTTTGTCCTGTTTCCAAACCTAGAGGATAAAAAAAA